AAATTTTATTATATTAACTAATTATATCGGTTTAATAATTGGTGTGATAGTGATTATAATTAATATGTGATTATAAAAAGGGTATTTATATTTTAAAAAAATCGGAACTAAAATATAGTGTGCTTATAAAGAAGGTATGATTATATAAGGTGTGATTATAGAGAGGGTTGACTGTATAAATAATTATTTCTATAATTAATACTATATTATTAATTTTTAGAAATTATTTTTAGTTTTACAACCTATATATGAGGCAACACAGTTATTATTATCATCATCATATCCTATACAAGGTGATATACAATTGGTTTTTAAAGGAATATTTAAAAAATTGGATCAATATCAAAGAGGAAATCATAATACACAAAAAGAAATAGCCTTGGTAATATATACCAAATTAAAGAAATATTGGAATAAACATTTAAATCAAACTTCAACAATTTCCTCAATATTAGATCTGCGTTATTTATTCAATAATAATTTAACTGAAATTATCAATAATTTACAAGAATTATTTACAATATATTCCCTCTTAGAAAATCAAAGAATATTAAAACCAAAATAATTATCGCAGGATTATTTTCTTATTTTTCTTAATCAAAGTAATCATCAAGAAATGTCATGTGATGAATTAGATAGATATTTAAATTCCCTGTAGATAGTAATGCTAATCCTTTAAATTGGTGGAAAAGAAATGAAAAAAACTATCTGATATTATCACAAATGGCTAAGGATTATTTAACAATCCAATCATCGTCAGTTCTATCAGAAAGGGCCTTTTCAATTTCAGATTTAGCTATTTCAAAAATCAGAAATAGGTTAAATCCAGAAACAGCAAGGGCAATTATTTGTATGAAAAATTGAATTTCAGAAAAAAAAGAGAATTAAAAAATTTATAGCAACGAAATATATTTTTTTTTATTATAGATTTTATAGATTTAGATTTAATTTTTTTTTTATCAATTTTTGACAATAAAATCTTATAATTTTGTTTTTTTTGTTTTTTTTTTTTTTGTTAAATAAAATAATTGTGATATTTGATTTATTAATATCAAGTGGTTTACACTTCGGTCTAGACTATAATTCAAACCTGTCTATAATCCAGTCTACAGTTCGATTTTACTCTCAGACTGCCAAAAATCGAACCAAAACTGAACTGATCAAACCGTTAACATCCCTAGGTACAGAAAATAATAATTTATCGGCTGATGCAAAAGATAATGATAATATGTTAGCTAATAATTTGAAAATAGGTTTTTTAAATAATTGGAATGTTGAAATAAATAGTTTAGATTTTATAGAACTATTAAATTATGAAATAAATGATAAAGAAATAACATTAGAAAAAGAAAGTATAAGCGATAAAATTCAACATGATGATAATCTTAATTTTAATCAAAAATTACAAAAATTAGAACAAATTCTTTCTAATTATAATAAAAAACAAAATGTAAAGTATATGATTATCTAAAGTATCAGTCTATACATGCATATTTTACATATTGGAAAAAAGATGTGTTAACGCAAATGAAAGCAAGTGAAAAGACATCAAAAGAAATTTATGATAAAGGAATCTATAGGTCTAGAATAATTCATAAATTAGGTGATTATTGGATTAAATATGATATATTACCAATTTCATTGCAAGGTCATCATCAAAAAATAAATCACTTATTGATGATGAAGATATTATCAATTGTAGTTTAATATATATTCGTTCTAATAGCGAAAAGATAACATCACAATAGTATAAAGAATTTATAGTATCAAAACTTTTTTCTCAAATGAGTATTATAAAATCTATATCAATAAAAACTGCAAGAATATGGCTTCGTAAGTTAGGTTTGGCTCCACAATCTCAAAAGAAAGACATATATTTTGACAGACATAAACATGAAAATGTATTACAATATTGTGAATAATTTTTAAAAACTATGGCAGAATTTGAAAAATTAATGCTAACATTTATTGGTGATGAAATGCAAATGATTCTTCCAAAACTTAAAAATGAAGAGTAATTGCATATTTTAGTAATGCATGATGAGTGTCTTTTTTATATCAATGATGATCGTTTAACTATTCGGGCTCTATTAGGTGAACCACCACTTAGAAAAAAGGTCAAGGAAAATCTATAATGGTTAGTGAATTTTTATTAGAAACTATTGGACGACTTAAACTTACTGATGAATTGTTGCAAATTATTCAACTTTCCTAAAGAAGTAAGAAAGTATTTAAGACCTGGTAAAAATGATGAAGGTTGGTAGACTGCAGAACATCTTTTAGATCAAGTAATAAATTCAGCTATTCCAATTTTT